CCCTGCTGCTCAGAGCTGGCATCCCAAGCCAACTCTTAACCAACGCGCCACTCAGCCGGCCCTATGAAGTGTAGTACCACTCTTGCTCTGTGGAAAATCCAGGCTCTCCCTCACTACTTCAGTTTCAATGAGATGTTTACATATTTGTTTTGTTTTAATACACAATTAGAGATAATACACAAGCAGGCAGATAATATACAGTTAAGAAGTATTTTTTTCCTTTCTGTTCTCCCTCTAAATGTTCAATACTTTTCTGATTTTCTGATTTGAATTTGTCAATTAGTTTCCTGAGGTTCAATCAAGGCCTTGGGGATGTAACATTTACGTAATGTGTTCAGCCTAGCCTTCCTCAGTTCATGTGATTTTATGTGAGGGCTTTGCTCATAAGTTCGTGGCAAAACATAGGCCTTCAGTGCCTGTTACATCTGGCTCTCAGCTCTCTCTACTGAGACACATAGGAGTTTATTTATAAGGTCTAGACTTCAATTCCTTCGTTTTCTTTACTCTTTTCTAAGGCTTTTTATATAAACGATGCCTGCTCTATCATTTGTTTTCCTTTTAAAATTCTCACCCTTCACTTTCTTTTATTATCCTCACTAGGAGTGACTTGTATTCCTCATATATTAGGAAGGCAGATCTGGTTGAAGAAAAGATGCACCAGAAGAAATCAGCATGTTTTTTTAATTTTGTGAGAGGGATATCAAGTTTGGGAAGGATTATTGTATAAGACAGCTAAATGATGGGGAGAGACGATAAGTGCTATCAGAATTACAGAGGAATAGTCAGCAACTTATTTTCCTGCATAGGGAAGGGATATTAATTAGCTCTAGGAGTAATTGCTAACTCTTTGTTAATTTTTTATTATGAAATTTTAAAGTGTACAAGCATAGAATGTTGTAATGGACTCTGTGCCCCATAAACCGGCTTCAACAATTATCAACTTATTCCCTATCTTTTTCATCTATAACTCCATGCTTTGTATTATTGTGAAGCAAATCACAGATATATAATTTCATTCCTTCNTTTTTTTTAAGTGAAAGTCCTCCCACTCCCCTCCTGAGAGGTTATTGATTGGTATCCATCCAGTATTTTTTCTATGTATTTATATATACACATACCTATATACAGACACACATATAGCATTTAAAAATATAAGAAAAATGAATACATAATACACCTATTGCTCTGCAATGTGTCCTTTTTACACTTAACTTTATGTCTTGGAGATCATTCTATGTTAGTACATACAGATTCATTTCAATCTTTTGAAAATGTTATAGTTTTAAAAAAATAGTACAGATGGATCCTTGTTTATTTTATTCCCTATTGATGACTATGTTGCTTCCATTTTTCTATCACAAACTATCTTTGTGCATTCATTAAGAACCTAGCTCATTTACAGTGTTGATAGATACTGTCAAAAAGCTCCCTTAAAAAGCTTTTCCAATTTGTATTCCCATCCACCATTTATGAGATCATTTGCATTTTTCTGGTTATTAGTGATGTTCAGGACCCCTTTATCATAGTTCTGGCATATTGGATTTCTTCTGTGAATTGCCTGTTGGTGTTCTTCGCCATGAGAATGCTGGCTTATTGTTGTTTTTTTCCCCTACTGACCACTCATCTGGCTTTCGCCTCTGCAGAAAGAGGCTTCTCCACTTTCCCTAAGCAGCCAGCTCCTACCTCCTCCACATCTCACAACAGCTGTTTGTACTCACCCAGGCCTTCCTTTGGCAATCGTGTCATAGTGAATCCACTCATTTCACAAGCGTTCTCTGTGAGCTTACTCTGTGCTTGGGCCTGGGATAGGTGCTGGGTGTAGAGATAGAAGCAGGTCATCATAGTCTCCATCCTCAAGGAGTTTAGTTTTGAAAAGCAGCTCTGGGCACAGGAAGGGCATGGGTTTGGGATACAGACAAGAGTTGGGTTTGACTCTCAGCTGTGTGATGTAGAGCAAGTCATACAACCTTGCCAAGTTGCAATTTCCATACTAGTGAAATGGGCCTAATACCTCCCTTACAGAGTCATCTTGAGGATGGGTGAGAGACAATATGACTCAAGTGGCTAGCAAGGACCTGTTACATAGTAGCCTCTCAGTGAATGAATAGTAATTGAAAGGCAACTGTTAAGAGGTCAACATGATTAATTCTCAGAGGTTCTAGGTAATACTAATAAATTGGAGTAAAAGGAAGTAGCTCCTCCTTCTGCAATGGAAGGGAAAGGATAAGTAATACGTGCCACTCGCCTAGACCCTGCTATAGTATATGCCCCATTTTGCCTGTCCTCTGCACCAAGGCAAGCTTCTTTGTCCTGGCTCCTTACCCCAACTCAGCTGCTCACTGTTGATGTAGTACTTCTGCTGCCCTGGGGAAAGCAGGTGCTTCCTTCCTCAAATAAATAGGCTCTTTAGAACATTCTCTGTAAGAGAGCCCTCAGGATACTTGTGCATGCTGCCATTCATAATCTCAAGAAGAGCAGACCAGAGATAGCGTAAGGTGAAAAGAGAAATACTGAACAACTTCAAAGGGAGAGACTCAGAGACCTGGATTGCAGACACAGTTCCACCTCTACTAGATGATCCTTGACAACTGTTTCCTTCTGGGCTTCCGTTTCCCCATCAGTGCAGTAGAAAACTAGATCTCATTATTTCTAAAAGCCATCTAAATAAGAATTCACCATGTAAAGTCAGGGTGTGTGTGTGTATATATACTACTCTCCTTAGAAATCTCTTTATCCTTGGCACCCCTACAGCTCTTTATGCCTGTCTGAATGTCACAGAGCACTACACTGTATTTGGGTTTATAACATGGTTTCCACACTGAACTAACAGCTAGTGGATCCACAACTGGTTCTTGGTTTCTTAGAGCCTACAGGGAGTTAGAGCACCTTCATTCCTTTAACACTTTTATTGAGTGCTTTCCATCTACTAAGCCCTATGTTAGCTGAGGAAGATACAAAGATAAAGTGTCAAAGCTTCTGCCTTCAGGGAGTTGACAATCCAGTTAGGAGACAACTATAAGACAAACACAATCTACTAATTGCCTTGATGGAGGTTTGTCCAAAGTGTAGGGGAGCCCAGGGGAAGGAATGCATGTATTGTCTGGCTGAGTTGGAAGGTTTCCCTGAAAACCCAGGGCCTGAGCAGAATAAGGTGAATAGGGGTATGTTAGAAAGACAGGGAGAAGGACTTCCCAGGCAGTGGGAATGCCCTCTGTAGAAGCACAGATGTGGGAGAGCACAGTGTGTTCTGGCAACTGCCCGGGGTTCAGCATGATGATGAATAGGGTTGGCAGGTATCAGCTTATGAATTACCCTTTATGCCATCCAAAGGACTCTAGGTTTTAATGATGTAACCTAAAGGGGGAGGGTGTGTGTGGTGGTGGTGGTGACTGAAGCATTCTAAACATGGGAATGTAATAAGTCTTTGTGAACGTATGAGTAGTTGTGGGGTGATTGGGCACAGTAATTTGGAGAATATCCTAACCTGTGGCCTTGGGCAACTTACTTCTTGGAATCTGTTTCCTTGTTTTTGTGAAACAAGAATTAAAAAATCAACCTCAAAGCATTGTTAAAATTTAAAGGGGGTTACATACAATACATTTATGAAGTAAGCCTGGCACTTGATAAAATCTTAGTAAGCTACTTTTTAAAGGTAACACTTGTTTCATGCAGTACACATTACTTAAACAACCTAGTAATCGCTATGACCCATTTCTTAGCCTGTTTCGTCCTCTGCAAAATGGGTTCTCCAATTTTACCTTTCCATTGCATCCTATCCTCCTCCCTAGCACATACCATAACGTTCATTAAATTTTCTAATTATTTACCTGGCCAAACTCTTCGATTATAACCAAATTATCTGTACTTTGTTTTCCCAGCTAGACTTTTAGGTCTATGAGACCAGACACTTTAAAAAATTTACCACTATACCCGCAGTTCCTAGCACTGCCTACCTCTTAACAGATGTTCAGTAAATGTTGGCAAAAAGAACCAATGTCAAGCTTGTCTTTCAGGACTGTTGCCAAGGGCCGGCGAATTGATGAAGTGCTTCATTATTTGTAAAGTTGTACAGATGGGTTTATTATTAATTATTAAAATAAGGTGTGAGAAGACGAACGAACCCACTCTTCACTTTAATCTTTAGCAAGGGTGCAGCTCTTCAAGGTTCACAAAGGTTTTAAACCTGTTGTCTTCTACTCTAGAAAAGGAGCAGGAAGCGCCCCCAGTGTTAACTAAGTTCAGCTTCAAACTAGAGGTGAAAGGTACCTGCCTAAGGTCATCCAGTGCACATGAGAAGTTAAAAGCCAGGAGCTCTCAAAGAGTCTTCTCCCTCGCTAGGGATCCCTGGGTCAGCCGGCCAAGCCACCTGCCGTACCCGCCCTTGTACCCTGCCGGGGTCTCGAGTCTTCCCCTGCGCCACGTGGCACAGGGAGGGTGTCCCAGGTGGTGGAGCGAGGAGATGAAGTCCTGGCTGAAACCCGCCCGGGGGCATCATGGGAGATGTAGTTTTTCTTGCGGGAATAAAAGGGTGCGAGCTCCCCCAGGCTTTGCCTGGTAAGTAGCATCTCTGCCGCGAAAGTCATTCAAGCCAACTTCCCGTATTATAGATGCAGCTTAGGTATCTTTGAAAGAAGAAGTGTAGGGAAAGGGGAAAAGCAAACAAAGCAAACCAAAAGATTATTAGCGGGGAAGGAACGGGTTAACAGTGGTTACGCATGCGCGCAGAGGGCCCGCAGGGTGGGCGGGGACGGAAGAGGACTCCCGGGAGGTGTGTTTTTCCCGGAAGTGCCTTCCCTCCTCCCGGGTCTGTGCGGACGCGGTTTCCTTACCTCATTTGTCCTCGCCCCTCCCCGTCCCTCTACGCGTTTTGGTTCCTGGTTGGTGCTTCCTGGTCACGGCCGCGGCAGTGAGTATGTGTGACGGACCCCGAGCCGCCGATGGCCGGGGGACCCCTTGCCCGCCCTCCGCCTCTCCCGCCGGGCTGTGGAACTAGCGCGTGTCCCCTCGCTGGCCTCCGCGTCCCCTGTCTGTCCCCAGCTCGTGGCGGGGCGCGGCTCGTGGCCCCTCAGTGGTGCTCTGCCCCACGCGGTTCGGCTGACCCTCTGGGGTGTCCGCTTCTCCCTGCCAAAGCCTGAAGTCGTGATTCAAAATAGGCTGGGCGCCCCATAGCCTCCGTGGGGTGGTGGTTCTGCCTATTTTATCTCCACTACCCCTAAGATTCTCCTGTCTTTTAGTGAAGCCGGTTAGTGAAACGGCGGAGGTCCCGCCGCACCGGGAGGGGGTCCCTGCCTGTGAGGACCGAACAGTCCTGGGCCAACTCCAGCCTCTGTTGTCAGAAGCAGCAGCTGCAGCTGTGGGGCCAGAAAAATTTCGGGGGGTGTGCCCTTTCCCCCATGTAAATCAGGGAGACTGGCGCAGAATTCGCTAAGATTCCCTTTATATTCCTCACATCTCGTGAGCTCGCAGTTAACTTCGAGGAAGAGCTGGTGGTGCAGTGGGGAAACTTGCCGGGAGTCTGCAGGCCCGAGGTCTGTCCGCGGCTCCACCATTGATTAGCTGGCGACTCTAGAAATCTCATCTTTAGGTTGAATTTACCTTAATTTCAGATTACAGAGTTGAATTAGGTCTTTTAGGCTCAAAGAATAAATAAGCTTTCCAGACCCTGTTTCTCTATGTGTAAAATGAGAGCGTTCAATTTAGTGACTCTTTCAGGTCTTTTCCAGAGCTCAACTTTGTGTTTTGAATACTTCACTCTATCACACCCAAAGACTTTTAAGTGGGCGGTTTGTATATTTCAGACAGCATTATGCTTTTGGGACAGTTTGGTATTGCTGTTTTCAAGAGGATCTGAGGGTGGAGAACGAACTAAGAACTGGAAGTGAGGGTTGTAAGATAGTTACAAGGATCAGATACTGTGTAGCAAAAGTTAAAAGGGATTCAATCGTTAGGGAAAGGTGAAGGAAGTATTTCCAGATAGGATTAGTTACTCTTAAAGAACTTTAGCTCAAGAACAGGTGGACTTGGCAGAATAAATTAAGCATAATTTTCTCCCACCAACATCTGGTGTTCTGTGTGTGTGTGTGTGTGTGTGTGTGTGGCCATTGTTTCACACATTTGGATTCTCTACCCCAGTCAGATTTTCTTCAACGTGAAAGCCACATTTGAAGAATGGACAAATTTTAACACCAGAGTGAACTTAATAATTTTTTGTATCTGTCACTGTCAGGATAGCTCACAAACTTTAAGTCGAACATAAATTATGTCTAGTAGTCACTTTCCAGTAAAAACTGGGTTTAAAATTAAGCTGTGAATTTGATTTAAACCTCCTTGAGATGGATACCTGTTATCATGTAGAAACATATAGGCTAGAGGTTCTTTGAAAGGAAGTAAGAACAAGAGACCCAGACTGACCAATTGGTAGACTGTTAGAGCAGAAGTATTGAAGATTGTGTAGTAAAGTCTGAGAGCGTAAATAAGCCTTCAGTTGCCTAATCTAAAAATTCAGTGACTGAATACTGCTCCCACTCTTGAGTGGTGAGAGCCTTTGTAGTTATTCTCTATAGCTGTTTTATATTTGTTAAGCCATTTTAATTCTTTAGATAAGTTTCATTCCCAAACTGATATTTTACTTTCTTAATGTAAGAACCTAAATCTTTTTTGGTCATGGGATTGCTATAATCTTTGACTACCAACTTGGGAGGCTCCTGGACGGTAAACTGACAAACTCAAATGTATGCTTTTTTCTTCCAATTAAAATGCTTCTTTGGTAGTTTCCATATTCCACTGCAAAGTAAAATGGGTATTTGGGAGGTAAATTTAGGTGTTAGAACCAATTCAAATATAGCTTTGAAGGAAGATTTTCTTTTTTTAATCTTTATTTGAAATTATTTTTAAAAATTAAAAAAAAAGCTTTAGTGAACACTTGACTAAGAGTCAGGGAAGTGTGAATCAGTCCTAGCTACGTTCTTAATCATCCACAAAACCTTGGATAGGCCTCCTTATCTCTCTAGACCTCAGTTTCCTTATATGTAAATTGAGGATATTGTGTGAGATAATCTGAAAGGTCTCTTCCAGATTTAAAATTTCGTAATTCTCATAGGGACCTTATCTAGTTAAGTATGCTTGAGAATGGTGTACATTGATCAAAAAGCTAAGAAATCCTTCTGAATCGAGACATACACGCATATATATATATTTCATATTCATCCTCTGAGTATATTCTTTATTTTTTAAAAAAGTAAATTAAATGCATTTGAATGTAATTAAAGTAGTAACATGAACCAAAACAGCCTCAGGCAAACCTTAACCCTGGCATACATAAACTACATAAATAGAAGAGCAAGTTATGCTGAGCACAATTTTCAAGTACAGAAGATACAAAATCCTCTTAAAGGCCATAGGGGCTAAATTGTTAAATTCATTTTTCTACCTTTCAGGGAAAGAGATAAACCCTTAGACCCAAGGAAGTCAGTTTTTATTACATTTCTGTAGTTTATTTTTGGCATATATTCACAGGTGTGCCTATGGCTCTATTCTTAATCCCTTTCCTTTGGGATGGCTCCAAGAGTAGTACAAATTTGTAACTCTGTAATTTAGCTCTTTAATTTTTTTCTCTGTTGCACCGGAATTATGTTTTATCTTAGGTCCACACTGGATCCTCAGGATGGATCCAGTGAGGATTTTGAAGGAAGCATAATTCCTTTGACTTCTTTTAGAATTAATTTACCTATTAAATAAAAAGGAAAGGATTCATCTTTTATTTGAATTCCTCTGAGGCTAACATTTCAATATAAACTGATAAATGCTATGAGCATTATTATTCAGNCGGGGCCCTCTGGCGTCCCAAGCCAGTTCTTAACCATCGCGCCACTCGGCCGGCCCTCATTTTGCTTTTGATATGTTTATTTTTCAGTATTACCTTTTAAAAGATTAATTTGCTTTATAAGTGTGTAAAATGTTTATAAGGCTCCAAATTGAAATCAACAAGACAAGGAAAAATATATTCAGGAAAGTCTGTCTTCTATCCAGTCTTCACCCTGTTCCTGCCCTTCCCCTTTTGAGTAACTATTAAGAGAAGATTGCCCTTCCTTACATTTAAAAAAATATGAGCAGATTGGTATATATCTTCGTACCCTCTCTCCCCCTTCTTAAGGAGTAACACTATCTACACTTATGCCTTCTTTTTTTCTGTTAACCATGTGTCCTGGAGATAGTCCCTAGTAGTATGTAAAGGTTTTTCATTGCTAGGACTATGGACTATTTCTCTGTCTTCTACACTAATCTGAGCTGGACACAGGCATATAACAAATACTCTTTGGAAGTGAATGAATAGTAATTTAAAACAGTTGATGAGTCATGTACTTGTTTTAGTCTTAAAATGTATTTTATTTTTTTAACTCAATTTATTGGTTAATAAAATTATATAGGTTTCAAGTGTACAGTTCGATAATACATTATATAATACATTGTGTTCACCAAAGTCAAACCTCCCTCCATCACCATATATTTGATCCGCTTTGCCCTCTTTTACCACCTCCCATCTCCTCTTATACTCTGGTAACCACTAAACTGTTGTTTGTGTCTATGAGTTTTTGTTTCTTTGTCTTGTTTGTTGCTTTCATTTTTATTTCCCACATATGCATGAAATCATGTGATTCTTGACTTTTTCTGTCTGACTTATTTCACTTAGCATGGTAATCTCCAGATCCAACCATGTTGTCACAAATGACAATATCTCATCTTTTCTTATGGCCGAGTAATATTTCATTGTATATATGTACCATATTTTCTTTATCCAGTCATCAAAGGACACTTCTNAAAAAATATTTTGGAGAAAAAGTATTTGGTGTCTGAGTCAGCGGATCTCAGCCTGTTTTCTCTTTCCAACATACCTGCAAAATATGACTTTCCATTCATAACTATAACTCAATTTATTGGTAGTAATTTTCATTTGGGAGAGATGGGCATTATTAGAGTAGATTTTAATAGGTTTAGAAAGCCTTGAAAAAAAGGTTCTGTAAGAGTAAAAGGTATTTTAATATGGCATTGAGAAAGATGATGACCTTTATATAAAAGTTAGCTGTAAGAGGTGATAAGATTATACATTAAACAGGTGTGATCGGAGCTTTTAAAATACATTCTTTGTATGACTTTCTGTTTTCCAGAATCAAAGTTACGGACTTTCCATGATGTTTGGTGGTTATGAGACTATAGAAGCCTATGAAGATGACCTTTATCGTGAAGAGTCATCTAGTGAACTGAGTGTGGATAGTGAGGTGGAATTTCAGCTCTACAGCCAAGTTCATTATGCCAGAGATCTTGATGATGTCATCAGGGAGGAAGAACGTGAAGAAAAGAACTCTGGGAATTCTGAACTGTCCAGTAGTAAATCAAATCAGAAGAACTTAATTATCATTTCAGATTATAACATCCAGTTATCAGGTGGCTCAGAAGTCATCAGTTCGTCTGATGAAGATAGTATTTATAGATGTAAAAGAAAGAATTTTAGTGCCCAAGCAAAAGACAAAACCAGAGGTCCTCCTGCTTCTCTTCATTCTAATGAGTTGGATGATAAGAAATGCAAGAGGGATACTGAGAAGCCTAAACCTGAAAAGAGATCTGGTAAAATCCGAGAAGTCATGATTGTAGAGATTAGTGCAAGTGAAGAGGAAGAGAGCTCCGTTTCAGAAAGTGACAACTTGGAAGGTTGGATGCTGCTGGGATGTGAAGCTGATGATAAAGATGATGATATCCTTCTCAATCTTGTGGGATGTGATAACTCTGTTAATGAAGGTTAGTATCATGTTGGCCATTTTGAAAAGTAGTATCATCTTTAGAAGACTGCTTTCCTAGACAAAAGACCAGTAGGGTATGCTCCTTTTAATTCCTCACCTTTTGGTCTTGTTTTTTGCCTTGTTTCTCTGAGACTTTCTTTCCAGTGGCTACTCAAATGGGAGTCAGCCTGAACATCAGAAAGAGTATGTCAGAATATCAAAGACACTCTGCTTCTGCTGTAAGCATTTTCATAGCTGCTTCTTCCTGTTTGGCTAGAGCCAGTTCTGGATCTGAAATTTTAGTTCCCCTCCCTCTCTGCCTTGTACCACAGGTGAGTATTCCATCTACCTCTGACATTGGTCCTGTGTTTCATTCAGCCAACTCTGATGGGACTGCCTCTTCCTAGGAGATTTGCTTACCCAAGAGTTAGCCAGGTAGCAAGGCATGGGGAATGCCTGGTACGTAGAGGACATGGAATTGGAAGTAAGATTTTAGAAACTTCACAGTCAGTAAAGTAGGAAACTGTGAAAAGTTTTAAGTCTGCAGTAGACTGAAGGAGAGAATGTAAATTCTGAGA